CGTCGGCACTGCCATTACCCCCCTCATCATATATCAGATTATATCTCTCTAATGCATCGTCGCCGCAGTCATCCCCTCCGAAATGCCCGCATTCTCGATGGCATACCTTTTTCCCATTATTCCGTGTTCCTTTGTACAGCGCCGTTCTTAAATTTTTGTCAGACACGAAAATTTCGGTTCCTTTTACTCAATCCGTTTCGTTTTAGCCGTAGAGCCTCGCGTCACGGGATGTCGACTAGGAACTACTGAAAACCTGTTCAGTTGTCCGCAAAAATTTGAGCTTCCTGGCTGGTCCGGTTCTCGAAATCGCTTCTTCGCTAAAAATCAGTTTTCCCTTAAATATTGCCTTCCGGATGGTTTAACTAGTACGCTGGAATTCGTTCAGGGCACGAAAACGAACGTCAGGATCGCTAGCAAACTGTGCACTACGTGATGAAGCATTAACTAGAGCGAGTGGGGAAAAGATACGAATTTGCATAATTGGCGAAAAAAAAACTAAGCACAGCTGTTTTGATTAAATATTTTGCCTTAAAACAAATTTTATAATTGATTTATCTCAAATTTTAAATTCTATTTCTCCATGGGATTGCTTTTTTTTGACTTGATTTTCTGCGCTGTTTTGGTTTGAAATTTTCGACATTGGCTTAATTTTATTAAATATATGGTTGGGACAGTAAATCCTTCTATGATTCGTTCATTCGTTTCGCGATAAACTGATATCTACACTTATCATTTACCATCAGCTTGCTTGTAAGCGACCCTCGCGAAAAAATCAGCCATCGAGAGCTTTACCAGCGTGTGGTTGCTGTTGGCAGTCGAGTTTCACCAGCGTGTGGTTGCTTTTGGCAGCCGGGCTTTACCAGCCTGTGGTTGCTGTTGGCAGCCGGACTTCGCCAGCGTGCGGTTGGTTTTGGCAATTGGGCTTCACCAACGTGCGGTTGCTTTTGGCAATTCGGCTTCACCGGCGTGTGGTTGCTGTTGGCAGCCAGGCTTTACCAGCGTGTGGTTGTTGTTCGCTTTTTTTGACGTAGTGTTTTGATGAAAAGTAGTCGTAAAAATCCATGTTAGTTATTTTGACCGAAGACTTTCACCGTAACACACTCTTGCTCAGTCGATAAAATTTTTTATCGGTTAAGGGGGCATTGGTCGGCGATCACTTTGTGGTCATTTCTGGCATTCATTTTATTCATTCCCTTCGTTCTTTTGGGGGTAAAATATTAGTTAAAATTACAAATTCTTTTTTTGCCAACTGTGTAATGCGAAGTTAAAAAAAAGACGAAAAATTAAAAAGCGAGTTGTTGCGTATTTCCTGTCATTGTAGCCCGGAATTTGACTGTATTTGCTAATGAATTCACTGTTTTGCAGAGTGCGATAATGTCCGATCTCCAGGAATTTGTTAATCAGCAAAAGGCAAAAAATTCATTTTTTGGTTCAGCAGCTTCATCGGCCGCTTCGTTTCCAACAATTAGCAGTATACGTTCAAAAATCACTTCCGGTTTAAATGGTTTCTCAACAGTACTTTCGCCGGGTTCCGATTCGGATCGAGAAGCGTTGACCGAATCGGCTGAACCAGTTAATGGGCAGTTGCCCTCGACACGGAATCGGAAGAATAACGGATGGTTCAGTTCAGTTTCTGGTGAAGAAACACTTTTTGGGTTTGTTTTTGAAAAATGCTTAATTAAAATCAATGATTGTAGGGTTCCGCAGCTCCAAAGCTCAGGTAGGGGGGAGGGGGGAAAAAGGGAAAGGAGAAAGGAGGAGAGGATGAAAAAGAGGTTATTTTCATCAAAATTTTCATTTTTATTTTTATTGGTCATTTTTATTTTCTTTAAAAGTGTAACATTTGTTTTCTGTAAACCATGAACCTTCATCTTCGAAATTTAAGGGCGGGGGGATAATCTTCCCGAATATGCCAAATATTGCGCTTTTTTTAAGTCCCCTAACACCTTCAGTGCGTTCAGAATCGTACGATCGTCTTTATTTCATGCATTTGAGAAGTAGAAACCGAGGAAAAGTTCCGATTTCAACAAATATTGTAATTTATTCAGCTGAATATGTATTTGAAACATTGCAGGATGTCAAGAATGCAAAGGATTACCGCCTTTTTCATGTCAATTACAGCAGCCTTCTTGTGTTTTGGCACGGTTAGTTAGGGTTTTTTTTTCTTCTTTGTAGTTAGGGTTTGCTTGAAATAACTCCTAGGTGATTTGAGTTATTCCAGTTTACAACGCCGGGCTGTAGGGCAAATAAAAATATAATTTTAAAGCACAGTTAGACCAAGAAAATTGTTTATTTAAGAGAAAAGCGTGTCATTTTTCATGCAATTTGCCCTCTTAGTTGCTTTATTTACATATAGATCCGGCTAAATTCTCTTATAAAGTTCATTTTATTATTTATTAACACTGCGGCTGTTGTACTGACGAGGTCCAGTTTTGGTGCTGATTAGGAATGTGTACGATTTGGTGGACCGAAACATCCCTGTTCATTTAGTTATTCAATATTATTTTATATTTTTATATATATCGTAATTAATATCTCTAATATGCAGCCGATTATTCAAAATCAGAACTTTAGCTGAAGGCGGATGATGCTTAAAAAATCTGAGAAGAGCTAATCGAGCGGTACCGGAGTTGAGGCTCCTCTGTACTAAGACATAAAAATACACATACACACATACATACATACATACATACATACATACATACATACATACATACATACATAC